AATTGTCTCGATCAGCTATCGCCAGTCAGATGGCAATTCAGCGCATATTGGAACTTTTTGCCTATACATTTTTCTATCTGGTCTTCGATTATATTAGCGAATTTCTTCAAGCAATTTGATAAGCATTTTTTTATCGGTCAAATTGAAAATTAAACACAGCTCAAGAAACGTAATCTACGTGTTATATCGATATCGTTTTGATTTCGCGAATCCTCCTCGCGCAGACTTGGGTCCCGAGTGTATCCTCAAGCTCCTTCTTAGGAACATCTCCGCGACCCCTGACAGGCTTGACTAATGGTCATCCTACATCCGCCCTCCGGCTTTGTAGTTCTTCGTCTCTTTCTCCTTTTCTCTTTCTCCATGATGTTCACGCAACGCGACATCCCCGTCTCTCTCTTTTCGCATCATCGTTGTGGATATCACCGCTTTGAGAGCGTTCTAATTCGAAAGGGATCAACGAATTTTCTAACTTGTTCAAAATGTTCTCAGAATCGTACGAATGTTTCGCAGCCGTACGTACCGAAAAAAAATTTACAAATTTCGACAACGGCTTGTTTCAACACATTTTACATCTAAATATTTGTAAATTGTTAGAATACTGATAAGAAATATCTCTTGCAGGTATCGTTACGAAATTGTATGACTGGTAGGATAATTAGGAAACCTGTGTAAAAAAGTCTAATTGTTAAGAACAAGGGGTAAACCGCTGACCAAAATCCTCTACACCAATGGTTACTAATGCCTAATTTCTGGAAATTACCGCTAAATTTTTTATGTAATGCCCACTATAATGCCTAGTAATCATAGATATTTATATAACACTAGATCGCTAACTCCTCTATGTACCGTGCATAAAAATTGATTCCAAAACTTGTGTATTACGAAGCGTGACGTCGGAATGAAACGGTCACGTGTATATACTATTGTGTAACGACCGCGGTAAAGCCACATGGGCGATATACGTACGTGTAACGTTCGTTTGTGCGTGATTTTGGAAAATTTACAATGCCATTATCAATTATCGTGTTAAAAGTTGCCGCCGTTTAAGTGGAAAAAAGAATCAAGGGGTAATATTTCATAGGTAAGTCGCAATCATTCTTGTATTTTATTGTCTCCAGATGCGTCGGCTGCTAGTAATGCGCCAACGTCACGGACACGTGACATGGGTTTAGTACATACTTTTCGGAATCATGTACTAGAGTCCAGTTAGCGATCTAGTGTTATATAAATATCTATGCTAGTAATGCCTAAGATGCCTAGTAATACCCATTAAATTCCTAGTAATGCCCAGTAATACCTGCTAATGTCTAGTAATGCCCAAATAATGCCCAATAATACCCGCTAATGCTTAGTAATGCCCAAACAATGTTTTTATTAATAAAAAAAATAGAAAATGAAGTAAGTTCAATACAAAGAACATAGTTTAGGCATTATTTAATTTAGGCCATTGTCATTTCGGTTTGCTGCAAATTATCTTATTTAATTTTTAATTACAATATTAGGAGTACAAATTAGTTCGGTTTGTTTTCCAAAAAATGATCGCTTTCAAAGATAAGTCATTTTTTCGAGATGGAATTCGAAAATCGCCTGAGAGATGGGAAGAAGTAGTAGCCAGCGGTGGACAATACTTTAATTAATCTGTTCATTAATTTTATTTTAAAATAAATGCATTTTCAACACAAAAAATGGACCGAACTAATTTGTACACCTAATATTTTACTAATGTTTTACTATATTGTGACTTGGAATTTTTATTTTTGGACATGTTACTTCTTTTTCTTTTATTATTGACAAGGATTAATTATGCTTACGTCACCAATATTGACTAAAACTTGCACAGATTGAGAATATTTTTTGACTTAATGAAGAATGTATACAATGTATTTTAGTTTATAATGGTTGTTTGTAGACTATTTAATATTGAGTAGTGTTTGAATTAATTTTATTGAAAATGACTGATTATATATTTTATTGCTAAACGAAAATTCTTATTGACTCTCGCCCTTGACATCATTTTGTTTAATTTATAATACTTTATATATTTTATGTGACATTGAAAAAAAAAATGACTCGATCGGAGTCGAAACGTTTGTTTTAGATATGTTTATATGATTGTTTAAATTAAATTATTTGTTAATTTATTTGGCTTGTTGCCCTCTTTATATTTATACTATATTATTTAATTTATATCGTGTTGCAGTTTTATATTTGTCGTATATTTTGTCACATTAATGGAAAAAATGTGTTGAATTTAACATAAATTACAGTGCCAAACGGTTCATTCAAATTTTTAGGTTAACAAGAAGATGAATATGTTAGACGGTTATATAAGTATTATTCATGTATATAAGTATTATATTAGTATTATCCATGAATAACATACCGTGAAGTCGCAATTTATAATTTATTTAATATTGACACTTTTTTACGTATTGTAAATATATTATTTGACATAAAACAATCGTCGGTTTAAAAATAAAACGAAATAATGCTCAGTAATTTAATAATTCCCACTATAATGCGCACATTAATGCCCCACTAATGCCTAAGCAATGCCTAATAATGCCCAATAATGCCCAATAATGCCTAAATAATGTCTAAATAATGCCTAGAAATGTCTCGAATCTATACACCGCAATGCTCTCAGCGGTTTACCCCTTGGTTAAGAAGAGGGTAAGATTTTTTCTCCTATAACTGTGCCAATCAACCTCATACACGGAACGAATCATCTTAGGGATTCTTTCTCGTCAGATCTATAAAGTATTTAGCTGCGCTATATAATGAAATACGTAAATGTTATATTCATCTGCGTCCTTACAAAAAATTATGGAACAAAACGACGAAGAATAAAAAGATCGTCGTTTTTTTTTCTTTTTACGGAAACAGTAACTTCGTTACTCTCTATTGACCTTTTCATATTCAATTTCTTTTTTACTTCAACTATAATAACTATGCTCTCTGCAGCCTAGTTATAAAACTGTTTTCTCTGTAGAAAAATTCCCGCAAGCCATATATATAATCGAGCATTGTTTATCGACTTGACTATATATTGTCTCGCTTTCCGAGAATTTCAGACTACAAGAGTGATAAAAGCACGGCCCTGCATGGTATTAGCGTCGATACGTCTCTAAATCGATGAGGTACAATAACTTATTTATGTTAATAATGCTACTTGTCGAGCTTCATAGTTTTGCAAGACGCAATATAGCAATCACGCTACAAGATTAATTGCGAAACCAATATTGACCTGTTTGCGCCGTCAAATTTTATGAACTACCCTCGCAGTGTTATTTATGCATCGACACAACTCGTCTCTATCCTCAGCAGAATACGCGATCGTAAAATTCTGCGCGGTCCTCATAAATTAGTTAAACGAGGAGCTCCAATAGAACTCTCGTACGAGAGTCTAAACCGCGTTTGCAAGAATGTAAAAAGCTCAAAAAGAGGAACGAAAGTGAATTATTTATTCCAAGCATCTTTCAATCTTTGCTATATTTTCAACTTTTAATTATATATATATATATATATCTCTTAAATTTTAATAATTTAAAAGTTCAATAAAAGTTGCATTAAATAAATCTTCTTTTATTAAACGCTTTATTGTTAGAATTTTGCTGTGTCTCACTCAGTACAAATCATTAATTTGCTCAATAAATATTTACATATAATTCATAATATAAACATCCACACAGGTCAAAGGATTAAACGAGCCTAATCTCAAAGTTATTAATTTATTCTAATCTTCGTACAATCTCTAAACGGTACGTTCCGACTTCATTAAATCTTGATCAGCCGTAAATTATAAACCTCATATAACAATCTCATAAAAACTTCATATAATAATCACAAATAAACCGTCCCGTAAACGCTTTATAAATTTAATATAAACATTTCATTTCCCTCTCAGAATCACAAAAGTCAGTATACGCTAACATTCTTACATCAATCATATCTAAATTAAGAGCCAATTCTTCGGTTAGTAGCGAGGATTTAGATATGACTGATATAAGAATGTTAGCGTATACTGACATTTGTAATTCTGAGAGGGAAATGAGATGTTTTTATCAAATTTATACATAAAGCGTTCACGGGATGATTTATTTATGATTATTATATGGGGTTTTTACGATTGTTATATGGGGTTTATAATTTACGGCTGATGAAGACTTAGGGAAGTCGAAACCGTACCGTTTAAGCTGGGTCCACAGTCTCACTTTAAGAGACCTTAAGCCATAAAGTCGTAAGAAATTGACCAATCATAGTTGAATGCGAGAAAAATAATCGACTGTGATTGGTCAATTTCTTACGGCTTTACGACTTAGGGCTCCTTAAAGCGAGGTTGTGGACCCAGCCTTAGAGATTGTAACGAAGATTAGAATAAATGAATAACTTCGAGATTAGCTCGTTTAATCCTTTGACCTGAGTGTTTATATTATGAATTGTTGTTTCTTACACGAGCGAAATAGTTGATTATTAACACTAATTATTTACTAAATATATTTACACCTATGTATCACCCATTATGCATATCTACAGACAGTTTCATTAATCTGACATCTGATACGTGCGCAATTTACCATAACAATGAAATAGCAGCGAACAACAGAAGGAAGAGATATTCGTCCGCATATTTTTCGATGTTATCGACAAATCGTAGATTCTTTGTTTTTTTTTTTTTTTCGCTACAGAAAGGGAATAATAATAATACTTGCGCTTTTCGCATCTGGGCGTAAAAACATAACGCGCGAACAAATAAATTCTCGCATCGTTTTTAAATAATATATTTTCTTCGATTTTCCATATAGGGATATTTGTCCTGTTAAATAATGAGAAACAATAGATAGAAAACATAATATACGTGTAATATATGTATAATAAAATTACAATTAAAATATCCAATGTGGTGGTTGTAATAAAACTTATAAACGAGTATTCTTTCTATTATAATACACGATTATCAATTTTTTTTCATTCTCCAACGGCTGGATCTTTGGTTTCAGTAAGCAAGCTGTGTTCGACGGAAAGAAAGCGATTAGGGGCGGCATACCGTTCGTCTTTCGTAAGTATAATAGATGAAGCGATACACGTCATGTTTACGGTTGTATAGGAAAGAAAAGAAAATAATTTGACGAAACAGTTTAAAGGGCGAAGATCTTACGCGAATCCGAGCTTCTGGTAAAAAGAGCCAACTCGAATACCATGAAAATTTAACTGAGTCTAATTAAAAAAGAAAAAAAAACAATTAAAAATAGTAGCGATATTTATACGATTAATCCCTTCGCAGTCTAGCGACGATGAGATCTTCGTGCTACCAGTGTGTAAGAAAAGGTTTCTTAGATTTCCGTTACGATTTCAGTATTAAAGTTGTTGACGTCGTTGAATTCGAATATAATATTAGAATTTAAAAATTCAAACTACATGAGACAAGTAAAAAATTAATAAAACAATTAAAAAAAGTAAATTACATAAATCTGACCTCTCGAGACAATAAATAATAACAATTAAAGTATATTAATTGACGGGCAAATGACGCAATTATTCGTGCATACATAAAATGTATTTAGATGCAAAAATTATTAAATTTAAAATCGGACATTTCAGCTCTATATTCGAGCCATTCATCAGTGATGTCTAAGTATAAGACATATTAATCCAGTAAACGTTTTGGTTTAGTGAGCAGCCAAATGAGCTTTCTCAAATTCAAATTTGGAAAGCATCTCTAACAATTAACTGTTTGATTAAGTGAACACTCCTTCTTTAATTATACACATCTATCTTTAGTGTTCACTTAGTCAAATAGTTAATTGTTAGAGATGCTTTCCAAATTTGAATTTCAGGAAGCTTGTTTGGCTGCTTATTAGGACCAAAACGTTACTGAGTTAATATACATATCTTGTACTTGGATATCGCTGATGATGGTTCGAATAGAGCCGAAACGTCTGATTTTTAAGCAATAATTTTTGGATCTAAATACACATTTTATGTATATATGCGTGAATAACTGCGTCTATTTTTGCTCTCATTTGCCCGTCCATTTAATATGCTTTTATTGTTATCAATGATTAAGTTTAGACTAATATATATCAATGATTAAGTTATAGACTCCTTTTAATTAATAATAACATGAAAAATAATGTGTATAATATACAATAAAAGCTATAGGAGAGTCAACGCTGGTATAATAATCAGACACAAAGCTTTGATATCATATGCGATCACATCTGATGCATATGATATCAAAGCTTTGTGTCTAATTATTATAATCGTAAATATCGCTAATGTATAATCAGGGTTGACTCCTATAAGTCTTTATTGTATTATACACATTATTTTTCATGTTATTATTAATTAAAAGGAGTCTGTAATCATTGATATATATTAGTCTAAACTTAATCATTGATATATATTAGTCTAAACTTAATCATTGATAACAATAAAATTTCATGCTTTTATTGTTTCATGCTTGTATTACTTAATTTTAAACATTTTAAAAATAAAATATTTTTTTAATAAAAAAGTATGTTGTACATTAATATAATGTTTTGTTTAAATTTAAATTAATTAATTGTTTTTAAATAAAACAAAGTTTTTGATCTATTATTTAGAAAAATAAAATTCTGGTATTTTGATTCAACGACTTCAACAATTTTAGAATATACACTTTTATAATAATTTATTTCTTTTTTTTTTTTTTTTTCAAATTTTGTTCCGCTATACTGGAGAACACGTCATTTTTAATTAAAAAATTTTGATGTCATATTTGGACTCAACCAACGACCTCGAAAACCTTAAGATAATTATTTTTTGTAAAAATTCTATTATTTTTCCAAATTTGATACCGTTATGTTAGATACGCCATTTTGAATTAAAAAATTTGTTATATTTGGATTTAGTAACCTTGAAAATTTTAGCATAATTATTATTTTTATAAAAATTCAATTATTTTTTCAAAATTTTACAACATATTGGATACGCCATTTTGAATTTTGAAATTCTATTCGGATTCAGCGATCTCAAAAATCATAGGAAACCAAGATTCAAACATATCACTAGTGGGTAAGTCGTTTTTTTTGTGATGTGCATGTGAGAGTAGTTTAAAAGTTTCTCAATCTGACACAGAAATAAGGCCACAAATATCAAACTACTAAAATTTTAGACAAGTTTAATCCTTCACAATGTTAAAATTTCAGATAGATATATGCGTTCATTAGTTTCATTATTTCATTATTAGTTGTCTAAATCAACCAATTTTTTATGGAGTTTTGCGACTGCAATTGAAGAAATGTGGGCGAGTGCATTGCCCATAATGGAAACAAAAGTTGGTTGCTTTACACGACCGAAACAAAGAAATTAATAAACGCATCTGTCTGAAATTTAAATAGTAGCTTTGTAAAAGATCAAACTTGTCTAAAATTTTAGCAGTTTCATTTGTGACGTACGTCATTTCTGTATCGAGAACTTGTCCAACTATCCTTGTGTATGCTACATTACATACTGATGGTACATCTTTTTTGTGTACATATACATATATATGCTTCACGCACACAACGAAGACGTTAATCCGATATTTATCTTCGCAGCACAATTCGGAACATGGACGTACGGACCACCCCACGGCTTTGCCAGGATCATTCGTTGGAACGTGGAGAAGACGCCGGAGCGATTGCCCAGCGGGGACATCGAGGCGATATTCTCGATAATGGATAATGAATTCACGAGATCACTGTGGAATTCACAATTCAGGCTAACGTACAGGCTAATACTACGCGAGAAGGAGCTGCATTTTAATATTGGCGTATACAACCCGAGCAGAGAAGATCCCTTCTCCTTTAATCTGCTCCTTCACACCTATTTCAAGGTACCCGATGTCAGGAGATGTCAAATCACGGGACTGCACGGGTGCACGTTCCTCGACAAGGTAGCGTAAGCCTGTGTTTTCTGTTGAATTATAGTAATTATACTTATATAGTTACATTAATTAAAATATAAATTGATCGAAATACTTTATTAAAAATTTTACTGTTAAGACTCACGGAAAAGAATCGTTTATTTTCAATTAATCTTAATTAGCTCATGGTTATTAATGACTCAGCATCACCGGCGTGTGCGTGGAGAGAGTCCATTTTAAAACTTGCGCAAAAAGGATCTATCATTACATATATATCTAAAGACTAGTCATTAAAGAGTCGGTGCTTAGAGCGGTGTAGTACGATGCTCCATTAACTCCGCGGCGCGGCGGGGCACACGTCGAAGCGATTACGTATCGCGGCCGCACGCAGTCCTTGTCTCACACACAAATTGTTTCATTCACGCGCGCACAGACTAGGGACAACCAAATCTACCAAGAAGGCCGCGACGTCGTCACGGTGTGCGAATGGACCGACCGGATCTATCAGAACACGCAGCCGGAGCATATCATCACGAATGTTGTTTCCGGTAGGAAGATGCGCGTGCAAAAGTACAACTTTCCCGACACGGTCGTTTGGAATCCTTGGCAGGAGAAGGCGCGCGACATCCCGGACTTCGGCGACGACGAATTTCCTAACATGATATGCGTCGAGAGCGGACACGTTAGCAGTCCGGTTGTGTTACTGCCAGGAACGGCCTTTGAGGCAAGCCAGATATTGCAGGTGCGTGCATCTCTATTCTAAACGCGAAATCGTGCCAGCGCAATTAACGGTAATTAAATATTGTAAATAGAAATAAAAATTGAAAAATTCAAGAGGACTCTTTTATATAACAATAATCAATAACATTAAAAAGGGCGAAGTAAGAGTCAAATTATAAATAGTCAAATTATAAAGAGTCAAATTATAAATTATAAATAGATTTAAAATATTATAGATGTCATCGTATAATATGTGTATATCGTTGTAATCAAGTTTATAAATCAAGTCTATAAGTACGTGCGTAATTGCGTACAGAACGAAACTTTGAATGACTATATCGATACCAGTATCACGATTGAATCTCGATCTTTGATCAAATATCAAACGTGCGAAAGTCGTATAGATTTTACACTTATAATATCAAATCTGATTGGACCGTGAGAGTTTTAAAACGAAATACCGATGAGAAGATGTTGTAACGGTCAAGCTGGATCTTGGACGCTTTATAATAATACAATTTTGTGTGAATTTATATACTACGTATGTAGATTCTTAAATCCGCGTCGAAACTTTTTTTGCCTTGGTAGTCTAAAGGCTTAGGACTCTCGCACGGAATGCCAGAGATCCGGGTTCGACACCCGGCCGAGTAATATTTTTCGCAATATAAATTAATTATTTACAAATATAATTATTATTTTTAATATATCATTCATAGATTTTAATACGTCATTCAACATTATTAAGATCCAAGATGCTATGAGCAGCATCAAAATTGTTTAATCAATTTAACTCGTGATAGTACTGTGGTAGTTTATTAGAGTTTGCGTATAGTAAATCTGGAAAAAATTTCAGCGCGCATTTAGAATCTACATACGTAATATATAAATTCACACGAAATTGTATTAGAAGCATCCAAGATCTAGCTTGACCGTTACGGCATGTTCTCATCGGTATTTATTTATAGTTTGTTACATCGATGTCTCATAACGTTCTTGCATTTGTAATAATTTCATTTACGGACAATTTGTCAGAACGATGATTGATTATCCGAATTATAATTAATTATATATTATAATTAATTATATTAATATAATAAGATTATAAATAATGTGTTATAACGATATAATAAGATTATAATTAATTGCGTGACAAAAGCATACCTACTGAATGTAATTCAAGTCCTACTCTTATCTGAAATCATTATCCGTACTATTATCCGTAATTATACGATTATTCGTGAAACTATCACGTTATATACTGTAGCTGCGGGCTATAGAAGGAGATAAAGAATAACTGATAATCAGAGAGGCTGATTCTTTTTTTGCATTTCATTCCAATGGACCGCTATTTGCAAACTAGATGTTTCTAGCGTTTTACAATTACAATTTTAATCGGTAAAACAGATATTGAAAACTTTGTACAAAATGAGTAGAATGTTTTTCTCTATAAAATTATATTATTTATTTATTATTAAAGTAGTTATCAAAATATATTATTAAATCACTGTCATTGTTATCAATTAAATATTATTAACTATAATTTTTGTACCGACCGTAAATTGTCTACAAACAATGAAGGAATTAAACGCCTATAACGGTCAAAGCTGGATCAAAGTGCTAATAATAAGTATGAGTGAATTCTTATATACCACATATGTAGCCCCCCCTTTTTAAATGCGCGCTGATACATCAGACATATAACGCATAAATATTATTAAATGCTTTATATAATTGTTTAGTTTTAACATTTAGATGCTTGAAAATTTATATGTTGTGAAACGTTTTATCTGATAACTACCTATATTACCTAACGCTACCTACTTATATTAATTCTACATAAAATATAAATAGCGAGTTGCAAATGTTATGATATTTATTCATCATTATGATAAAAATCTTTGCAAATTATAATTTTCCTCGTGTTTGCGTACAAATAGATGACTCAAGACTGAAATGCAAAACTGCAACGCTTAAATATACGACCAGGAATCGAAACTATTGAAAACCGAAGATTCTAGAATAGTCGAATGCTATAATCCTGTTAAATATTACAACCGGCGGAGAAAGCCACGATCGCGAAATGTATCAATGAAATATGTTTTTCATCGATTTATTCTCGTAGGTGATGTGAGTAGAGAGTGGACCGACGACGTCACACGTCAATGCCGGAGGCGGTATCAATTCACTGCTTCCAACGTCCTCAGCATCGTCCGCGGTTTGGTGCCACCCCCGCCGCCACCACCTCCACCTCCGCCGCCCCCGCCGTCGCATCCATCGCAATCGTCGCATCTGCACTCGCATTGCGTTGCCCAGACTTGCACGATATGTTCTCTGAATCTTTAGATATGAGATGAAGTTTGTAAACCCAATGCGATCACCCAAAATTTCTTCGTTTTTCGCTCGCCTGATCAATTGCTTCCTCGAAAGGACTCGATACCCTCAACACTGCATGGTGTAGAATGTATCTCTTTTCTTATCGAATCCGTCGAGGAAGCGATGACCTGTGTAGTAAAGACAAGTAAGTTAGTTAATTTGATCGAAGAATTTGTCTTTCTTCATTTTGCTTATCTTTATCTTTATGCTTTTATCTGTATTTTACGAGGAATTATGAGAAAATTAAATCCGAAACGGCCACTCGCGAACGTGAGGGATAGATCAATCAATTTACCTCTCTTTCTTTTCCGCCGTCCAAATAATGATCCAACATAGGATTTATAAATAAGTCAATTACATTGTCCGAAAATAAAATTGTTATCTTGTTTCCACAATATTTATTTTCTTTTCATTAAAAGTATTTAAAAAATTGTAGAGAGGTACTCGCATAAGTATTACGCGGAAGAGAATAGGATCCCTTTTATTAGATTTTTAAAGAACATTGTCTTAAAGAAAAAAAACGAAACGAATTAAAGTTCACTCGATTCGTCACAATAAATATCCATACATTCCATATATGTATAAATGGAAAGTGAAAGAAATATATGTCCCAATTTCGTATTCTCACCACGTTTAGATATTAGCATGCAGTATATTGTTTATAGATGTAGATTGGAATTAGGTATGTAAGCGATTTTGTTAAATTTACGCGATAAAACTTTCCCAAGTATTATGATGTAATTACTCATTCGTTTCGATAAACAGATTCGATCTAGTTTGCTTGCTGCAACATGTACATTTGGAATTAGTAAATAACATAAAATGCACTTGTGAGATGTATTTTGCGTTATATGAGCTATAATAAAAATGTTCTCGCGGAAGATTTCATATATATATATATACTTACACACACATACACCTACACACTTTTTAAAAATGTTTAAAGGCACTATACTTGATTATATTTTCGAAGGAAAAGAATTTGGCTTAAATGCATTTTTACTTGCTGAATTTTTATTACACGTTACAAATTGTTAGAAAAATATATGTTTAATATTCAATTCTTTCAATTGTAATTTCTTTAGTCTTGTTTCAATTATATGGCTTATGCAAGTTTTAATAGATTTTCAGGATTTCCATATATACATACAATTGAAAAATTTATGAGATTTGAATCCTTCCTCCTATTGTATATTCAACAGAAAATAATTTTAAAGTACAAAACATTTGCTATTAGTTAATTAGATAATTAATTATAATGCGTAGTAAACAGACGTTATGGAAATCAATCTGATTACACTTGTCAAATTTATTTAAAATAGATTCTTGCAATTTTTAATATTTTAAGAGAATCGATTTTATATAATTTTTCACCTAAATATAACGGCATGCAACATGTGCACAAATTTGTTTAACTTCTAAAATATAATTTACCTATGAGCAATACAAATATGGTGCTATTGTTACAAATATAGTATTGTAATGATAAATCGCAATACATAACACACATACCTACATAACATATACATTAACTAAATAAGCTCGATCGGCATTTTTTCCGTAATGCTGCAACTTTAAATGTAATTTTCCTCCAGAATTTTCGAAGCTATTATCCCAAAATTACCGCATCACCGATTATATTTGTTCATATGCAAGAAGAAACATAGAATTGCATCATAGAAAATAGATATATACGTAAGATAACATTTATTGTAATATTATATTATTATAAAAATTGTATGTGTATATGGAACATTTTGTAAAGACATTGACCATTTAACAAAAAAAAAAAAAAAAAAGAACAAACGGAGGAAATAGAAGCAACATTTTGCCGCCCATTTTTAGATAATTGTATTAAGGTATTATAGAACTTGAGACATTATTCTAAAGCTCAGTCGAAACTGAATTTAAATAGTGACCAGTTTGATACGTTAATTGAATTTTATATCGAAGATAATTAAATTTTTTAACGAAAGCATCAAGTATCTTTTTTAACTCAATTATGAATTTAACAGAGATAAATTGGTACACACACAAGACCATATATTTTAATACCAATTTTTTACTTACACACAAGAAAAAAAACAGTTTCTTATTATCTTAAATTAAGTCATTAATGAAAACGCTGGAAATATAAATTGACTACATTGTAAAGTTAATTGTGTGGCTGAAAGGAAATTGGCAAAAGGTCGCACATGTCTCTATTTTATATAAACATATAATCTATATCAACTCGCGTGCGCACGTGTGTTAGTTTTACTCAATAGCCGAATGCATACGGAAAGACAATTTTTTACGTTATGTGGATTTCCAACACGTCACGTAACATAATATTAAAGTATCACATGTAAATTCTTCAAATGAATTATCTCATATTGGTAGTGTATTATTACAATTAAGTAAATGCTCAATATAGTGTGTTGTTCCTCGTATATTACTAAACTTGAAGTCAAACAAAAAAAAAAAAAAAGAAGAGATGAGTGGAACGTTCCTGCTTATAGATGTGTTATAGAGCGAAAAAGTACAGCCTATTGAATCTGAAATACAATAGTCACTCGAAAATGAAAGAATTGAATTTCGGCGTTTTTCCAGATTGCAGAGATTCAGATGCTACTTTAACACGAGGGTTTTTTGGTCTTTAGAGACTAGACAATACGTTCATCGCTTAGTATAGTGTACATTCATTTTTTTCCTCTCCCCATATTAGCGATTAAGATTTGGTCTTCCACCGTTATGACATTTATCAAATCATGTTGTAAACCATTCTTATTCAACTCAATGTTAATATCCACGAATATTTGTGATTAAAGCAAAAACGCGATTAAAATTACTACGTTAAGAAAATGTACTCTTTTTGGGAAAGTGCAATAAAAAATATGGGAAATGATTGTACAATCTTCATTTTCTTTCTCATCGTTTAATAATTTAGATAATAATAATTAAACGAAGATAAAGGACAATTAGAGTCAAATTGTAAATAAAAATAATAATAAAGCGGTTATAACATTGAATATATAATATAGATTTAAAAAATATGTATATACATCAAAATACTTAAAATAAAATGAAACAAAAGTACCTACTTAGCCGCTTATGATATATAAATATTAAAAGATTGAAATATCGCACATAATACGTCAATCTTTTAATATTATATATCATAAGCGACTAAGTACTTTTGTTTTATTTTATTTTAAGTATTTTTATGTATATACACATTTTTTAAATCTATATTATGTATTCAATGTTATAACCGCTTTATTATTATTTTTATTTGCGATTTGACTCCAATTGTTCTTTATCTTCGTTTAATTATTATTATTATTTTTATATAAAGAGTCCTTCCTTTTTCAATTTATTTATTAATAATTTAGATTTAATATTTCATGTTCTTAAACTATCATTAAACGACTGCTGATTTATCATAGTGATTTAACAAGTGACATTATATTACAGTTCGCACGGGATAGGACGAAAGATTTAATTATACGAGTATTGTTAAAATTTGAACAGTTTATTACAAGCGAGAGGGAACGATAGTAACACATGTGTGTCTAATGATCGTTCGCTTGTTACACATTTAATTACATAACATATTAAATAAGTGAAAGTCTGAATTTACATATTGGAAATTAGCACTACAAATATATAGTATTATTTAATATCCTTATACCTAGAGAAACCAGTCAAACGCGTGTTTCCTTCGACTGAATTTAGCTGTAGGTAACGTCAAGTTTTGTACACACTGATTATAATTGTATTGTGAGCAACGTGTAAATAACAAGATAATCGAGGCTAAGTCTTGAGGTATGTCATACGATTGACACACCTGCGTACGGCCGACAATGGAAAAATTCTCTGACATCAGAAACATAGAGATTCATTTTTCTGTCTCCGGTAAGCATCGACATCTGTGTGTCTCTTACAGCCGTGAATCTTTTTAGCGTTACCAGTAATTGCGCGATATAGCCGTTCTTATCATAAAAATTTATACACTTTCTTCGTCGAATTATCTCGCTACCTGCTTGGACTTATCTGCTGGTTGATCACCTTGCTGTTTCTTAAGCTGCTTCTCTCTCATTCGTTCCGCGTCACTATAAAAGAAAATGTACGTCCAGATTATGTCCAGTATAAAAATTATATCAATTATTTCAATTTATTACAATCGTCATATAAATTTTAACAATAAACAAACACATCCTCTTTGCTTGTAATCTATTATTATTATTTCCAATTAAGCCTACTATTGTCATTATGCTTTTTTTCATATCAATTTTCACAAATAGAAAGATGTACCGTGCTTTACGCTGTTCTAAAGAAAGACCTTTATTGCTATCTTGTTCCGACGCTGCCTTTTTTACGGTTTTCTTCAAATTTTTGGCTCGTGCTAGTTCACGTTGATTTCCACCTGCAACATAATCAAGGGTTTCCTTTTTTAAAAATCGAGTAAAGTTTTATAATATAACTTTTCTTTTAATTTTACTCCACAATTTTCCTCGGTCTCTATTTCCGTTCCCATTTATTCAATTCAAACGAGGTGCCCTTAAAAAGAGCGCTGTTTATGTGCGTGCACGCGCAAACAGCACTCACGTTTGTAATTATTAAAGGGTGACTGCGATGATTTACGACAATGTCATACAATTACTCCGATAACTTCACAGCCTAAATCCTACTCCTAATTAGAACGACATCACGTATACACAGGGCTGTCGCTAGCACATCAAGCGCCTTTGTGCAAAGGAGAACAAGTCGTTCCTCTCTCTTCATTTTTTTAACTTACCGATCTTTTAAATAAGAATTTAAATCTTTTTTTTTTCAATATCTTTAGACTAGGTGTAACTGGAATTTCTATCATTCATGTTAACAAAAAAATTTTTCACATTCTCGCTCATCTAGAAATGATATATAATTGATACTCAACCAAAGTATTGAAACATTTTAATAACATCGACAAATAAACAATTATTTAGATCGACGATTTTGATTTTGTGATCAGATTTTGGTTTCTCTAAATTAATAATACACATGTTTCGGAAGAAATTAAATCTAACAAAAGCGTGCACACGTGATTGGTGTTAGGAATGGAGAATTGATTTTTAACCACTTTTGCAATCTGACTCTTTTTTTGATACAAGTAAAATTTCACTCTCTTTTTCCGAAATAAAGGAATCCGATTTCCCCTCCTAAAATATCTTGGTAGTAGGAATCTTGTTCGGAAAAACATGAAAAAATGAAAAATAACTGAAATTTTCCAAATATTTTAAAACCCACAACTGTAAATAAAAAAATCAGATTGCAAACAGAGGATTAAAATTTAATTTGGCGCTCCTATTGTTAATTCGCCTTTATACAGTACATATCTAGGAATTGATTCTGTATCTTGAAATGAAGTAAAATTACAACAGTAAATCAATTTACTAGGTTGGCCAATAAAAAATGATAAATATTTTAGTAAATTCGCTTATTTTTGCAATTTTGACCTCCCAACAAAAGAAGATTAATTAAAATTGAAAAAGATTAATTTTAACGTTAGCAAATGCATTTTAAAAATTAAATAAAATACATTTCAATGCCCAATGTCTAATTTTTATTCATTTCTAGGAATTGTGCATGAAGCACAATTTCTATGCTTCTTTTAATTCAAAATTCTGGATCAGAAATGCAGTTCCTCAATTCAATTGAATCTGAGTAAATCCAGAAAAGTTTTTCCATTTAAAATACGCATTCAAATGAATTAAAAATTTTAATGACTACAACAAATATAGTATATATGCAAAAACATATCAAGGTTGTTTGAGAAGTAATGAAAAATTTTGTCGCATAGAGATAGAATGGACTATAAATTGAGAAGAAAAGTCCTCAACTATTTTATAAATTAATATCTCGTGAACTACTGCAAAAATTGTAAAATAGGAGAGCACTTTTCTTCTCAGTTTAGTCCATTCTATCTCTATGCGACAAAATTTTTCATTACTTCTCAAACACTCTGTATACATGATATAGTATATACATAATTCGCATTGAATTATTTAAAGTATTAAAGATCCAGCTTTGATGATTATGGCTATTATTTCCTATTTGTTGAGTTTAAACATTTAAACAGGGCTGGGCATGTATTTAAAATACGTTTATTTAAAACACAGTTTTTTTTCGCAATAAAAGTAGATTTTATATTTTATATTTCAGCGATGTACATGAAAGTATTACGTATTTTGTATTTAAAATTGAAAGATTGGAAGCTTTATGTACTTCGTAATTTAAAAATAATAACAATATACAATATCTTAGTATTTAAAATACAAAATACAAAGTACTCTTTCAATCTTTCATTATTAATACTGAAATACAAAATATGAAAACTTTTATATACTTCCATAAAATATATAATAAAATGCAAAATATTTTCATGTACGCCGTTGAAATACAAAATACACGATACAATTGTCTTACAATTATCGCTTTCAAGTAAAAGTATTTTAAATACATGCCCCAGCCCTGCATTTAAATCATTCTTGCTTACTATAGGCTCATTTTTCAAAATACAGAATCGATCCCCTGCTTGTGACGGCCCTGCACATACACAAAATGGCGGCGAGTAAAAACGTGACGCTATTCGCTAAATAAAAGCGTAATTTTGCACCGTATTCACTCTTGGGACTCAACGCTGTCAAAACTGACGAGATCTACGGGAGAGAAAAGATTTTATCGACTTCGTGCGTTACTCGCGCAACATGAAAGCGCGTCGCCATAACACTTCCGTGTGCTGTTGAGGTTAACAAACGAGATTCTCCGAAAGCGAGACGCGTCAATTCGAAGAAGTAAGGTTTACACGTTCGATCACTACGTTCGGACTTTCTCCCACGATCTTTCGAAGATACTCGACTTTCCCAATCACGCGAAATCGTCAAGACTCGCGAAACACTGCACTCGTACAGATCCTCACTTTCTCTGGGTTTTTTTTTTTTTTTTTTGTTGATCATCGCAACGCACTATCGTCATCGTGAAAAATATTGACCTTTCCTTCGTAAACAGCCTGCAGAACGAGAATTCTCGGAGCGCTATCGTCGTGTCACGGCGCGCTGCGGTGTGCTCCTTCCTTCCTCGACGAGTCACCGTCACCGACGCGACGTACGTTTCACGACTCGCCGGAAAGCTCGTGTTCGCGCGTGTGTGACAACTTTGCGAGAGAGAGAGAGAGAGAGAGAGAGAGAGAGAGAGAGAGAGAGAGAGAGAGCGCGCGCGCGCGCGGTCACCCATAATAATCGTTTACGACCTTATTTTCAACATTTAACCGACAATGGCAGGCTCCGCGCGGAAGTTATACGAGCGAGAAACTCCGTGTCCGCGTCGATCGTGTTTCCTCTTTCATTCTTTCTCTCTCTCGTCGAGCTGTCGCGGCGCGTTCGGGAAACGGCCACCCGATCTCGCGGTGACGTTCGGCTGGACTTACGGGTCATTTTTTTTTTTCTCTCAATTCTTGATCTCCGATAAGCAAGCACTTGAAAATTTCACCACCCGGAATCGGTGCGAGACGCACGGCCCGACGATCCGCGCGCGCGCGCGCGCGCACACACATACACACGGCTTCTGCGCAGGGATGCCATTTCAGCAGCAGCAGCAGCTGAGTGTACCCAGGTGTCGTGTTATCCTTGTTTATCATTCGTGAACAACAAGGATAAAACGACATCTGAGAGGCATCCGGACGACGATACCGAACGCACTTCAAAGAACGGTTTACGACATCGCGACTAGCGCCATCAGTCGACGGTCTGGCACAATCGGTAGCACACAACGACACAACACACAAGTATGTATACATACTAGAGTCCACAGTCTAGGGTCCTAATTTATCCTCGAGCTTGATCTCCTTGTTACTCCGTGCTCCTACACATTTCTCAACATTTCCAATTGCATTTAGCAGAAAAACCTGAGAAAAGGCTAATGCCTGTTTCCATCAATGCAGATTAACCACAATCTCGGTTTAACTTACTGTTTTTATTTTTAATCAATGTTTTATTATTTAATTGACATTTTTTTTTATATTACAGTACACCCGTGACGACAGCATCAACGCTGGCGGTCAGGTACCTCCAGGTGCGATTGTGTTTCTCTATAGAGGAGTTGCCACAAAATATGTCGCTTCACTACAGCAATTGTTCCTCGATATCACCGAGGACGAAACTATCGCGTTATCGTAGTATGTTTAGTAATTCTATGAGTCCACTCACGCCTAGCTTTGGTATTTTGCCATTGGAGAACAATACACCCGAACAGACAGTTCCACCTTCGCATACAACTCTCACAGAAGCCAATGACCAAAAGAGCTTGGCGAAACGCGTCAGTAGTCTAAGAGCTCATGTAGGGATGAGTACAATCTCTCAGTATCTCATAATTATATAATGCATACAACAACTAATAATTCTCTTGCATCTTTCAGCAATGTCAAGAAAAGAAACACCATTGCAACAAGGCAAATCAGTATTTTCCCAATCGAGTAATACAAGTAATACTGCCAATATTGTGACAGTGACGGCAGCTAATCCAACTTCATCTCCGTCATCGACATTTCAAGGCACCAATGTTAGACGATCATCGCGACTTTTCAGCCATAATTCCGTAAAGGTACAATTTTTTGTTTAATTTCTTTTACTTCTGAACTAGGCATTACAAAATTACTGTAAAATACTGTACCTGCAATTAAATGTATTCTTAGATTTGGCTGCAAATGGGTTCTGTGTACCAAAAGATTTAGATCTCGAGGAAAGCAAAATGAACGAGTCGGAAGAAAAGACAGAAAAAGGCGGAATGGGTTTAGCCGATGGTGAAGGAACGAAAGACGTTTCCGATAGAATAGAATCCGAAGATCAACTTGAGGATGCAAGACCCGCGGACCAAGAACAAGAGAAACAAGATGATAAGGCTTGTAAGGAAGAGGAGAAGGGAATCGACATGTCTGAGAATTTCGACAACGAGCTTCAGGATATGAAGAAGAATGATGACGAAGAGCAGAGTGATGATGATGATGAAGAAAACGACTTGGATAAAGAAATGGGAGAAACTGAAAAAGGTGCTGAGCAGCTTGATAAAGAAATCTGGGGCGATGATCAAGAAGAATCCGAAGAGGACAATCAGCAGTCGGAAAACGAGAGTGAAGAGGAAGGTACAGGCGAACAAATCGGTGAAAAAGAAATGGGCGCGAGAGATGATAATGGTAAGAGAAAACAGAATGATGACGACGATATGGATCACGATGAAAATCAAGAGAAAAATAAAAAGGAGATTAATGAGTTGGATGAACCAAAAATAGATGAGGATCATATTAATCCTTATCACGGTAAATTTCAACCTCAACCGGAACCCGAACCACTCGATTTACCAGAAGACATGAATTTGGATGAAGACGGTAAGGAAGACAACGGTGGCGATGATGAAAATCCATTTGACATTGATGAGATGAAGAAACCGCCACCAGAAAAGCAAGATATAAAGCTTGAGAAAGAATCTGAGGAGATTAAAGAAAATGATTCTGAGGAGAATTCTAGCGAGGACGAGGACGACAACAATAATACCGGTAAGGAAAATCAGGCACACAAGACAGAAGAGCTTGAAACTAGTGAAGAAACTGAAGAAAAAAGTGATGAGAATGCAGAAGCTGAGAACAAAGACGAGGAACAGAATCAGGATAAAGAAGCGGAGGAAGAACAACTACAAGAAAAGGCAGCGCCGAGTGCAAATGATGCGAGCAAAGAAATGGATGCTGCACAACAAACTGAAGAAACGACGGAAGGTTCACGTGATAAAGTAGCGCAACAATCGGACGCGAAAGATCAACAGGAAACTTCATTTGAAAATACTCAAGAAGACAATATTGATAAAGGCACAGGCCAATCACAATCAGCACAACAGGAGAGCGGGCACTCAGGATCATCTAAGCAGGAAACTGTTTCGGCACCGCAAAGCAACGCTATGACAAAACCAATCGAGAAGAGAAATAATCCGGGTGAGAGTAACGAGGATCGTAGTCTGTTGAACAGATTTGAGTCGACACTAAAGAAATTAAAGACAACCTACACGCAAGACGAAGTATCGAGGGATGAAAACGAAGATGATGCAAATAATACTGATGGCAATAAGGCTGAGATGGCTCAACACATTAAGGATTTTGAAAAATTCGACGATTATACGCTCGACGCCGCAACGGAAGATCAGGTTAGACAACAAGCTTCTAACATGGATGAGGATAAGAATGAGGAAGAGACAAAGGACGACACTATGGATGTAGAAATGCATGAAGATAAGGAAAACGATGTGACAGATGATAAAGTAAACGAGCACAAACCCGAAAAGGTCTCTGAAATTACAGATAACCAATGCAAAAAAAATTCCGATGGTAAAAGAAACATGGAGAACAATCAAACGGAGACAACGGTCGAATTAGAAGGAGAAACGGCGGAGACGATGAAAGTGGAGAGAGGAAACGAATCTACATTTCATACAATGGAATGGAACATCGAAGAAAATGATCTTAGCTCCGATCATGTAGAAAGAAAGCGATTTGAAATGGAAAGAATGTTGGGTGAATGGACGCAAGTGCCCTCCACGGAGGAAGCTACAGCTGCATGGAATTGTTTGTATTCAGTTACGGATGCAGCTGCCAGGGATTTGTCTGAAAAATTAAGATTAGTGTTGGAGCCCACGCAAGCATCAAGATTAAAGGGTGATTATAAAACAGGCAAACGCATCAATATGCGAAAAATCATTCCTTATATAGCTAGTCAATTTCGCAAGGATAAAATCTGGCTCAGACGCACGAAACCCTCAAAACGTGACTATCAGATCGTCCTCGCATTAGACGATTCCAGCAGCATGGCAGATAATCATTCGAAAGAATTGGCTTTTGAATCCTTGTCGCTGATTAGCAAGGCTATGACATATCTTGAAGTGGGACAACTTAGCGTCCTAAGCTTCGGGGAGCAAGTGAAAGTATTGCATCCTTTAGAAGAAGCTTTCACAGAACAAAGTGGCTCTAGGTATTTTTACCTTTATATAATCCCTATAAATATTTAATATTTAATTAAATACAAGTTTTGAATATACATTTATGAATCAAAAGATAAAATTAGATGAATGATATTAATTGTAGTCACTACTTTACCCATTCAAACTTGTTAGTCACAACTGTTCAATTTTGTTTTACGTAGAATAATCCTATTTAATTTTATTCAATAATACGACAATTGGAATTTTAATATTTAATATTGGAATTTTACATATTATTTAAGGTTTCTTTTCTATTCACAGGCTAATACAAGAAATGAAATTTGATCAAAAAAAGACGATGATTGGACAATTAGTTGATTTTACGGTAGATATGTTCGAAAGTCAATGTGCTTCATCCGATAATGCTAAACTGTTGGTAGTATTATCGGATGGTAGAGGAATATTTTCAGAAGGAAAAGAAAAAGTGAATTGTGCTGTCAGGAGAGCCAGGCTTGTAGATATTTTCCTAGTATTTATAATAGTCGACAATCCAATTAACAAGGTAATTCTTAATCATATTTAAAAATGATGGATCGATTGTTCTATCTTCAGACAAACTATGTGATAATTTATCTAATGAATAAACAAGAGTAAATGTGTAAGGCCCGATTGTGTGCACCAACGTTAGCTTGATTTTAAGCGAAATTTAAAATACTTTCTTCAAAGCCGAGAGAGAACGAGAGATAGAGTTTTAAGCCTCGCTTCAAGTTCAACATAATGTTGATACAACCGGACCTACGAGCATTAGAGAATTAGAGAATTGAAATTTATATCGAAAGATGGAATAACCAAGACTAAGTTAATAATTATCGCGATAATAGTTCTATTTAGGTGCTATTAAAAACGTGTAAAAGTTATTATTTATGGCCTATCTATTCATTTCAGGATTCAATATTGGATATCCGTATGCCTGTGTTTGAAAAAGGAAAATTATTAGGAATTCGATCATATATGGATAATTTCCCTTTTCCTTTCTACATGATTCTTAGAGATATAAACACATTACCAGGTGTTCTGAGCGATGCTTTACGCCAATGGTTTGAAGTAGTTGGAAAAATTGATACTTAAGAGAGACTTGTAATAATTTTAAATATTCAGATTTAAAAAATTAGTATGTCATAAAAGTTGAATTTTAGATACATAAAACATAGCATACATATAAATATGTGTATGTATACAGTTTTGCGTTTAGATAATTCAAAATTATCTAGATATAGATAAGATAAATGACACAAAAATGTATTTTAGATGAGATGAAGATAATTCATTTTATATTAATCTAGATAAAAGATGAAATTAAAAAAATTTTTATCTAGATAATTTTTATATAAGATGATTTTGTTTTTAAGTAACTATTTGGTAATAAAACGATTTAGGATACAATAAATATATTCATTAGTCTTATAAATATTTAATAAATATATTTTATAAATATTATATTTTAAATCTTTATCTTTTTTAAATAAAAGTTTTTCGAATATATCATCTAATAAACGGTTTCTATATGGAATTAATGTTTATTATCCGCAACTAAAAAGACGTTCTACTGGCTCTGATGATGGCAATGATGTATTAAATTTTAAAAAAATTTGTCAAAACATCCTTATTGAAAACAGACGATAGCTCTCGTTATCCCGGCCCTTCGTTTGATCTCTTGAAAAACGACACA